TGGGCGTACTCCCACGATTTCTCAACAATCTGGCGCAGGGCAAATATATGGTCAGAGGTTCTTCGACCGGACCGGAAGCCACACTGCTCTTCTTGAATCTTGACTAAATTATTTATATTTGTAATAATTTTTATAAACTTTGTTCTAGTGCCACATCTCGTTGAAAACTTGTTGTGGACAAAATCTACTACTTGGAAAATATGAGGTGCAGTTTAAAAAATTTCTTTTTACCTGTAACCTGTAACCTTCCTTGTTTCTAAAATAGTTGGGTTGGCAGGCCGATTCATTGAATCAGTTGGCATTGAATCTGTAGAATTTTTTGTGCAGAGTGCTCTTCCTATTTCCGTACTATTTGACGCATGCGGTCGGTTCTTTCTTCGGATAATATTCATAGTATTTTAGCGTTTAAGAGGATGTGCCGTGAGAAAATATGCGTTAGTCGGAAAAGATATCGAGAATTATTCGAACACTGCGACTGGCTTACGGCACGAACCGTGAATGGCTACCCTTGAGTCTAGGAAACATGCTAACATATATCATGTATCTGGCATTTTCTCTCAGAATTGTACGATTCACATGAGCATCTCGGGCCCATCACAGTGAAACGATTGGTTATCTGTCTTCTTCGTATCCCACACAGATTTTTCTCTTTTAATGAACTTTTAGTTCCCTCCGCAGTTTGAGTTCAGTGCCCCTCTTGACACCGAGGAGAAATGTTTCGCTAAATAATACTTCAGGTTTCTGATTCTGGACCCAGAGTTATATGCGTAGTTGTTTGAATGATTCATGGTTCAAGGCACCAAATATTGCAGACGGTAAACAGTTAACGCCAACGCGTTTCACTGCACAGAGCGCAGCATCGTCAGGGCTCAAGAAATGTTTTGATTCTTTGGATTCACCCGTGGTTTTTCACCAAGAGCTAGGTTTACAGTTTCGAAGTCCCTTTTTTGTAATGGCGGTAAGGCGTTCATTGGATAACATAATTGGCAGCGCATGCGAGAATTCCCGTTGCTTAACACAAGAGACAGGTTGTAGACTTAACATGATAACAGCACTCCCTGCTGGGTGGATAAAATATTTTCGTAAATTTCAGTTTTAGAGAACTTTATTTGACTGTTATATCCACTTCGTATAAGTATTTTCGTTTCGATGAGTGCGCAGCGCCTTTCTTACGGCCTTGGAGCGTCTCTCATCTTTTGGCTAAACTGATACAATGGCATGAATATCGATGGAAAGCAGCTGAAGCACTTGTTGTTTGCAGACGATTGCATCTTCTTCGCACAAGGTAGGATGGAGCTCCAACAGAAGACCCAGCAGTTTGTAGAAAGAACCTCTCACCGTCGATTTCGAGGCTAAACTTTCTTAGACGAACGGATGCAAAACTAGCGTTGTCCAGAAGACTGTATCTGCGCGCGAATGGCGAAGAAGTTAATAATTATGCATGCTTCGGCTGTCAGGCGGCAGGCATGAACTCGCTAGATGAGAAAATCAGCTGAAGAGGGAATGCAGCATGGGTCAATTTTAATCATCCGACTGAGACATCAATACTCGACAGGGAGTTTGCCACGCGTTCGAAGAACGAACTGTTTGATTTGACTCCGCTACCTGCTATGGCTATGGTATTTCAACGGTCTGTTACTGAACCTGAAGAGAACAAAATGATGGTTAAGTAAATAGCGATAAAGCGAAAGATCTGCAACATGTCCCTGCGGGATCATGTCCCCAAAGTGCACAACACAATTTTTACATCGAACTGGGCTAACAGTCGTGATTTTTGACTACTTGGACGCCAAGGGAAGTTGGGCCGGCACGTAACTCGCTTGAAAAACGATCGATGGACATCAAGAATTACAAATTAGGTCACCCTGCACCGCAGACGTCCACTCGGTTGTTCGAGAACATGCTCGGACGATTGAATGGTCAGATAATGACTTGGCCAGTGATGGAAGCAGAAAGAAGTGAACAGAGAATGGAACACCCATGGAGAGGACAAGTCGGATAACGATTAATGTGACTGATATTGACGGATCAATTGGTTGTCTTTTGTCAGATATAGAATGAGGTATGTACCAGCGATTCAGAACATGAAATGTTATAACTCTAGATGTTGCATATACTCTGCTTGTACCAGTTCACTAGTAAAATGCAAGTATTAGTTTAAAACTCTCTGCGTTACCGCCTGATCAGTCAATATTCACTTGGTGACTGTTTTGTACTTAAACTCCGTTTCATGGTCATCATTCGAAGTGCAGGCCGTGAAGAAAACATTGGTGTTGGAACGTGATTATGGAATTACACATGAAGTCTACGTCATTTCGTTCGTCGCTGTCGAACACTCCAGCTTCAGGTCGAGCAATTTGACCTTGGCAAACACGGTTACGGTCACTGTCAACGCGCTGACCGCTGGTCAGTCGATTGAAGCGTTGCAGCGGAGCCGTCGGAAAACACACGCGACCCCTGCTCGCCTCGTCTCGCTCCTGTCCCCTAAGTCGCATTTTCCGGTTTAGGTATTCGTTCGGTATGTAAATTTGGGGTCGCGCGACTACTTCGGTAGTCACCGACTCTGCCATATTATATCTTCCGTGAAGGGTTTATGTATGCACCGGTTTCATGGTTGCCCCGTTTGACCTTAATGGTATGGATTTATGATTTATTACGGCGACGAACATCAAAATGGCTCCTTAACTGGACGCACTGCCGTCGTTCGGTAAATTAGATACGTCGTCGGCTGCCACCTTGCCCTTGATATGAATTATGGGCTCGGTGCGACGGCGCAGGTGCGTTGGGCAATCGCTCAACCAGGCGACTAATTATCATCCTCCGTTCTTTATCGTGATCAGCGAATCCGTTCCTCACGATCCTTACATTTTCCTCACTCATACTCGTTGCCACTAGAGAATTAGTCGACGGCCAGCTTATCACCTTTTGTCTCCGGTACTTCAATCTAACCATCATTTTCTATCAGAACAAAACGACGGATTACATTACGACATCTAGAAAAACATGGTTCGACCGTTGGGGAGTGTTCATAAATAATTATTAATAGAAAGCTGAATTCGACTTTGTTCACTGGTAAATCATACGCATTGATGAACTCAAGAGATCGAAATCCTGCCTTAGCTTCAGCACTCTAATAATCGAATGGGAAGTTTCAAATGGCAAATATGCAAAGCGGTTTAGATTGGTATTCTCTGTGCATCCAATAACTAAGCCGCCGATTCACGCCTGATTCAAGCTGGTCGTTTATGTTCCTGACAGTTTGGTCTAACGGAATGATGTAAGGTACGTATGAATGAGGGATGCCTTCACTAAGGTTAAGGCCACGCTGCTCGTTATCAAACTTTGGTGTCGCCGTCGCGGAGAACGGGCATCGAACAGGGTCGATCGGCTGACTAGACAAATAGAATCAGGATTGGCCGGACTCCGTTTGCTTTTTGAAACAGCCCAGATCTCGTGGCTTGTTGCACTACTCTCTTCCTTATACTAGCCTAGGGTGGGAGGGGGCAATTTTTTGCAAGTCGCGATCCCATGGTAATTTAGGACTTGCACTGTGGACGCATGGCGCACGCTTTTGTTTTTCGCTCGAGCCACCTCGCTTTCATTACGAGTGATGGTTCAGGATCTGCCACTGATATATATGTTGCTGCATGAACATGAATTTTTGTGTGTATGCCAGAAGGAGAGATTAGGGTTCGCCGAAGGGGTGAATCCGTAGCGAAATTTGAGAAATAGGTTTCCCGCCGTTGCCGTTCGCTAAAGGCCTCACTGAAGAGACGATGGCGGTTGTTGACAGGACAGAGTTGTAGACCAGACCTTACCTGATGCATAATATCTGGAACTGTAAGATGGTCAAGAGACGGAAATTTGCAAACTGAATTTGTCAGTGCTTGCACATTCATGTCGTAATCACTGCTGAACGGAGAATGACATTTGTCTTTGTCACTTTCACGCTTAAAGACATAATGGATTATATTTCATCTTAACGCGCCAACAGCTGGGCAGGATCGTTGCAGTCACTGGTTGATCAGTTGTTATGTTAGACGACTAACTTGCTCAGTCTGGTTCTTGTTCGGGTTTATTACGCCATTGCAGCTAATATAGCAAATGCTTTTCAGCGCATTACCTTATTTCGTATATGCAACTGTGCAAGTGAAATATTGATGAACAAATAATCTTTCATTGTGCGCTGCTGTAAGTGCAAGTTTAAACGTGAAGACTGTTTCTAGGACTGCCTTCTGCCCGCGTGCCCGCCTGCCGAGCGATGGGTGCCATAATTGAACAAATAATAGGAAAGAAAAGAAGGACAAGTTAGATCAAAGCGTTGCTATATAACGAAAAGGAACACTGGTTATCACTTGATACTTTCAGGGTCTCTGAAACGGCAATTTAATGTTATTTTCATCCCGTGTGTTAATTAAACGAGCACCAGTTTTTGGAATGGAAACATGAGACTATACGCTATGGTTATTACCTAACTGGGGTGATGTGTTTGATAAAAGACTTTTCTCTGCTTGTACGAAAATGGAGATCCATGTAACAACGGTGTCACGTAAATCGCTCATTACAACAATGCAGAGGTGACCAACGCCTACGTACGATTGCAAAATTCCCTACGTTTCCATGACGAGACTTATTCATGTACTTACAGCCGTCGTTATCCGACGAGTGTAGATGGTATGAGAGAAATGTTTTGTTCCTTTCTGCTGTTTTTTTAAAGTGATATGAAAAGCGATAAAAAAAAGTTACAAGCGTAACTGTGTGAGAATCATGAAGAGCTGTGACAACCGAAGCCACCACTACCTAAATGACGTGCTGTTGTTGGAATGCATAAGGCTGTGAAGGTGCTTCTGTAGTGCTTCGTATTGGTTCTTGTCGATACGGTACTACCTTCTGCGTCACGAATTGTACATAATTTTGGCATGGGGACAATTAGTTGCTTTACTGATGGTGTGACCATGAAGAAACTTTTGCGTGTAGAAGTATGGTTTCCTCTCTGAGACTGGAGTTGCTAAAATAGTAAGATTCAGAATCTAGAGGTCAGATGTTCGATCACTGGTCAGGTCACTATCCTCCCCTCCTTCTAAGGTATCTCTCTGTAGGAAGGAAACACAAAACTGCACGTTATACCTGCCACGTAGTTGTACTATCAACTTCATGAAATGAAGAGAGTCACAAATGGTCAACATTCTTCCAACTAAAAAAATTATTTCTCTCTGTGAACACCAACATCCATAATCGCAGTTCTGAACTTTACATTTGAACTTTAAACTGAAGGCGCTTTGTTTAATCGAATTAAACGTGATTTTCTATTGTCAGGTTTCCGCCATCTACGGCTGCCGTCGAAGGGCACGCCGCTGATTCGCTTTGACCGCTGAGTAAACAGCCGATGTCAAAGGTGTTCTGACCACGCCTTTTTGGCAATGTTTGATTGGTCGTCGTCCGACCATCAATCCAGCCTGAATACGTATGAGGCACGACGTAGCTCGTTCGTCAACGTTTACCAGTGCTGAGCAAGCGAGCAGACGATGTGGCGGACGTGTGCCTAATCAGTGCCCTAAGCCGAGTGATATGGAGATGATGTTATTTGCGTCGGCTGTTCTGGCAACGGTCTTGTGTTGTTGCTTCGAGCTAGGACAGGCAGAACGGTTGCCAGACATCTACTGGAATTCAACGAATCCGTGGTACGTCGATCTTGCTCATTAAATAATCATAAACATACTAGTGTTCTTTCGTTTAATCATGTTTTACGTGCCGGTTTAGTTAGTAACATGTAGATGATCAGGACACCGGAAATCGATCGATTTCTCCACCTTTTTGCCATATTATTCGCCATGACACATAATGACGGGAATTTGCATTAATGATAATCCTTCACTCAGAGTTGTTATGTGTTCCTTTCGTCCTTAGTCAACGAAACCGTTGATTTGCTCTTGTTACAATGCCAAGGCGATAGGTTCTAACGATGGCATTGATTAAACGTTTTCCCGCCATGTCTTCAAGCCGCACTTTGCCTCAAATCGTAGGTGATAGACAAGCATGCAGTGCAACCAGATTTAGTTTTTTTGATTTTCACTGTTTTGATCTCAACGAACCTTCCTCCATAGGAGTAATAGGATCTCAGTGAATTTTGTACTGGGGTTTAGAGTTAGTGGAATAAAAGAAATATAACTCTTGTCGTTAACATCTAAGGTTCACTAAAGCTGAACATCAGGATGTTGCGTGGACTGGTGATTCCTGACCAGTTTGAAATGATGCATCAGATGCATCAGATTTATACTAGGCAGTGCTCGCTGTTACAGCTAAGGTCATGTTCCTGTCGAGTGTCTTAGTTTTGCAAGTTTTACAGTGTATAGACAGCGTATTGTTCACCGTTGCGTCAATGGCGCCAACCGATAGTTGTAGCATGATCTAATCGAGGCCAGCGGGTGTCTGAAATATATATCGTCGTTCTATTCCTCGGGTTTCACTGCTAAAATTTATGATGTCCGTTGAAGCGAAGGCGGATTGTTATGATTTTAAGCGCTTCTCGTTGCTTTTTTGACGATTGTTGCCTTTCCACATGTAGCGTTGGCCTTTCAGGTGGCTAATTCCGTGACTGGGTTCCCATTAGGGAATTTGATGTGACAGGAATCTTTGCTCATGGCCTTCCACGGCTATATGATTTTGCTTCCCCGTAGCATGGTAAATCCTTACAGGGCTATGCGGATGCCTGTGCTAGAAGGAATTCCATTGTGACGCTCATTGGCTGTAAATGCCTTCATTTGTGTCCTGATGAATACACGCCAATTCTTAGATTGTGTTGATCCAAACCTTCATCCTGAATATCAGCTGTTAAATTTTGATTAGTAGATGCAGAGCGCATCAACGTTGGAATTGTGCCTCATTTGTTTTTCGTGGCTGCAGTATTGAATTCAAAGTAGAGTCGAGAAATTATGGATTTTCAGGAGCGAACTCAGGCCATTGTTTGAGGTAAACCGACTACCAGTTAGTAGGAAGGGATCGGCCGGCTACCGTTTGTTCTAATCATTGCGTAACTATGAGTATTAGTATGGAAATCAGTGTCCCGTCTCAACGTTATACGGAAGAATTTCATTAAGGGCGTCAATCACGAAAGTGCAAGGGGACGGACCTCCCAGTGGTTACGAATTTTGTCTGTTTCCTGAATGAGAAACGATCCCATCACTTTCTCTGACAGTAGTTGTGATAGTTTCATAATCGCACTTCATTTAGTCCACTTTCGTTAATGTTAAGCACACAGTGGAGCTCAGCTTCCATGGCGGGACTTACTTAAACACTGTTCATTTACCGGTCAGGCATTGAGGGCAGCGCCGCACCTTTTGTTGCTCAAGTGTCGGTCTTAGAATTCTTGGCGGTCGATGTAGTCTTGGTTGAACCGGAAGTTGACCCTCAAGGCTCAGCGCAAAGGGGGTCAGAGACATGGTCGAATGCACGTCGCCCGTTTCACATGCATTGTTCGACACAGTTGACACATGTTCTTGGCGATGCGACGATGAATCAAGAATCTTCTATAAATCATTTGCCCTGTTGGCGCCCTGGTTCTTCGTTTGCT